AAGGATAGATTGAAAATATCCATAAAAACTCCAGCTAATTCAGCAGCACAGTCCCTAACAACTCGTCCCATGAGTCCATCTGGTCCAGCTGCCTTTCGAATGTTAATATTCTGGAAAGCGCGTCTCACATCTGAAATTTGCAGTAGTGGTGGTTGTTTGTTGATGGTAGATTCTAGTGATGTACTATAGATAGTAGGTGCTAGAATAATGGTTGTTCCTGTTTCCACCTCAAAACAGCTGAAAAATGGATTTAACTGCTCAGCCAAAAAATCACTGCTGCTAAACAGACTGTTTTTGTTATTCTGCCTCGTGATTTGTCTCAGGCCATGCCATACCCGATGAGTGTCAGAGCTCTCAAGATGTTGCTCAGTCCTCGGGCTGGTCATAGCTTTGGCGTCCCTAATACCCCTTTTCAATTTAGCTCTGGCCTCTCTGTACTGTTACACATTACCAGAATGAAAAGCAGCATTTCTGGCTTTTAGTAAAAGGCGCACTTCTCTATTTAGCCAAGGCTTGTTATTAGAAAACACTCTCACTTGTCCAGTGGTAGTAACAACATTGACACAGCTTTTGATACAAAACAGTACTGTCGAGGTATAAGTATCAACATTGTCCTCCTCAAACAGTGCCCATTCAGTGCTCCTAAAGCAATCTTGAAGTTGCTCAGATGCATCCACTGGCCACACTTGTATTTCTCTAGTTGATGGTCTGATTCTATTAACAAGAGGTCTGTATGATGGAATCAAAAGCAGAGATATATGATCTGACTGTCCCAAACTAGGCAATGGCTTCGTCTTATATCCATGCATGATCTTACTATATACCTGATCCAAGGTATTTTTCCATCTAGTGAGACAGTCTGCATACTGATAAAACTTAGGGAGGACAGTCTTTAAATTGGCTTGATTCAGATCACCTGCTGCCACCAGCACCTACAGGGTAGGCCTGCTGCTGTTTGCTGATAGCATTAAAATCAGTTTGTATCAATTCATAATCAATTCATGTACCACCTGTTTGTTTATTTAAAACATTTTACACTAGTGTTTAACAACAAAAGCTTCCCAGAGAGGCTAAAAATAAGTAACAAATATCATCATCATAAGGTAGTCCTTGCCCTCAACCGTCTGGTATAAAAAACATAAAAAGAAAATAGATTTGTAGGAAGAGATAAAGAAACAAACACACACAGTTAGGTATTAGTTATTTTTCTAAAAGACTTAATAATGCTTGACATGGTCTCTGTAGTGGAAAGTCACCACATGGCTTTTATATCATAAAATGTCCTATTCATTCTTACCAGTAGGCTTTTCATGTGGGGAGCAGAAAGTAACTTTTAAGAAATCTTCTCTTACATTTTGGTCGGATGTCACTCTAAATCATGGTTTGTACTAACCACTGTTTAGAATTCAAAGCATGATTCCAGTTCTAAACATACATAAAAATGCACAGTACTATAGACGTACTATTCCACTTTTGTTTCCCAGTTGCACAGCATTCATATGGTACAGAAACTTCTAGAACTGAAATAACAACTGCAACTAAGGTTTGTCAGTTCAGGCATCAGGTCAAATAATGCTTAGCACAAACCATGGTTTGCAAACCTAGTTGAAAGCACAGTTTCTGATTCTCATTTGCTAATGTGTGCCAATAATTTCGCCCTAAATAACACTAAACCATAATGAAGCATCTTTAACCAAGCTCCCATATGAATTCAACAGCTGTTTCTGATAAGATCTGGGTGAGATTTTTATGCCACATTTTAAACCCCTTTATAAACGTTCCTTAGATTAGTTTTGCTTTTTATTCATCTGCTTTTAGATTTTACAACATTTTAGATACTATGGGTTAATGAACCAGTTCCGGTACAACATCAGTGTCCGTAATATAGTTAATGGGATGCATAATGACTAGGGATAGGTTTGAGAAAATCATGCCTCTGAGTTCCCATGAAGCATAGTGGGCAGTAAAAGAGATTTTACCATCCCTGAACTCCAATTACAAGCTCTTCGGCTTCAGTTAAAGGAGTGTCCTTCAGTTGAATATTGCTTTATTCCCCAGTATAATTGTATGCTATTTTATTGATTGTTTTCATAGACTACATCTGAACTTTATAATGCAGTGACTCATCTCTGTAAAATGCTAAGCCAGTTACAATTTTGAATGTGCGGTGCCCATAATGGCACATTTGTCTCTGTTTCCCCTGTTGAAAATAAGAATTTTGCTTTAATTTTTTTTCCCGTGGCAGAAATCTCATCCTCCTTAAAAAACCCTCAAGATCTGCACCATCATTACTCAGGTATGTAGTGAGTATCAGATTGGTAGCTGAACCATTAGTTGATAAGCATATTAATTTTTCCTCCTGTCATTTTCTGAATTTCTCACTTTGAAGTAGCTCTTTATCAAGAGTGGTATATTGAGATTATTCCTGACACAGACGCTTGGGAAGATTAAGATTATTTATTACTTGAGCACTAGTTTCTGAATATCAAGGAATGGTAGGCAAAATAAGTCTGGAAAGGAGGGGGGGGAGTCTGGAAAGAAATAGATTTTGGATAGACAGCCAAGCACAAAACAAGCAAATGACAGGATTTCCAGGAAACACAGAATCAGCATTTTGTTAATCAGCATCGCTTGCAACTTGTGATGAAAACATAGTCTTTCAAAATTTTCTATTAGTTTTTGTATGTCCTTATTCTTAGTTGTTTTTCACCCCTAGAAATCTTGAAGGAGATAAATCATGGGTATTATGTAGACCTGAAAGCAATCAACGTGATGTAGTCTGGTGCCTGAACCTGTAAATGCAAACCTTACACCAGCCACCTAAAAATTAATTGACATCTTCCCATTCATTTTCAGTCAAAAGCAAGATCTAAGACTGAATGTAGTGTGTCTTAGATTGCCTCATAAGGGAAATGGGAGTGGGTAAACCAGATTGGCACCACCAGTTTAGCATGAAGAATGAAAATTGGAAGCAGACGGAGAAGGGATTCCTAAATTTTGAGAAAGGCAAACTATTCCTATCTGTTAATGCAGCACCTTAATTGTAATAAAACACTCCTGTGTAAACCTTGATTTCCAGTCTAAACTGATTGATGGGCAATTCTGACATGTGGACTCGGATCAGTCCTACTTCTGTTATACTTCCTTTAAATAATTATACATGTAGTCCACAGAAAGCTACAGAGCTGCTTCACTTCATTTTTTGGGGGGTGGGGTAAGGAAATGTACAGAACCAGCCAGCAGATGTCCCTATAGTCCACAATAATTTTATAACTTTACGCCTGTCTTGGCAGTCCCCCTCCCCCCAAGGAAGATAATAGTTAAATGAAAATCCAAAAAGGTGGCATATTTTCAGTTCATAGTAGCTGACTCCCCACTTCCACCCCTGCATTATCTAGCTATGATTTCATAAGCAAAATGAATATACCAGCAAAAATCTGACATCATGTCAGTGTGTGGGATGTGGTTGTAAATGCACAGATAACAACCTTGTGTGCACCCAGCGAAAATGGTTGGGAACCCTGTTGCAAAACTGGACATAAGAGGACTGTTTCCCCCCGCCCCCCCGACACAGTATTCATGATGTGATTTGATTTTTCATTGGGTCTTAATTTTGACTTAACTGATTATCAGCAGAATCATCCTTAGAACTCTACTGGAAGAATCCTTCAAATCTAGATTCAGCACTCTTGTTTACAACCTGAAAAATGAGTACTGCTTAGCTGGACCAGATTGCTTGAAAATTAGGGCTGCAAATGACCAGGGCCTAGCCTGCTTCAATTCCGAGGTCAGAGCATGGGGAATTGGTTCTTGCTAACCGAGAAGAAGTAGAACAGAGGATATTGTAGAGATCACTTGAAGACAAATTCATTTAGTCCTCCGCACAAGGGTAGTCTCCAGGCTACCTGAAAGGTAAACACTTCACCTGATTTCGGGAGTTCAGAAGCACTTGCAGTAAAGGCAGGAGCTTTTCCCTCACCTCTTAACTGCTTAAGGGTGCCATCCAAACTTGCCAAGACAGTTGTGCTCAACCAAAATCCCTTCCTGTTTACAGATGCCAGAAATTCCTTAGGATTAGCCTCCCCTTGGCATAACTCAGTGGTGTCATAGAGTCTGTTGTCCTCTGGGCTGGATTTGGCATGGCACAGCTCCTCCCTAGTTTACAGATGCCAGAAATTCCTTAGGATCAGCGTCCCCTTGGCATATCTCAGTGGTGTCATAGAGTCTGTGTCCTCTGAGCTGGATTTGGCATGGCACAGCTCCTCCCTTGACCTTCGCTTTCTTTTCTCCATTTGGATTCTTCTGTTGGCTGCTGTCAAAACAGCAGTTGTTTTGGGAAGCTTCTGGGATCAAACAAGGAAATATAATATCATAATCTTAGAACTGCAGATCTGGAAGGGACCCTATGGATCATCGAGTCCAGCCCCTGTCAGAGAGGCACAGTGTGGAATCAAACTCCCAACCTCTGGCTCCATAGCCAGATGCCTCAACCACTGAGTTGCTATGCCGCCATAAAAGCTTTTGCTCATTCCTAATCCACCACTGCTGGTGCATCTTTGAATGAGAATTGCGCTGGAAAAATGTTGGTTGTACTAGTAGTCAAAAGTAAACATGTTCACAGTGAGCATGGGTGGATATTTTAATTTACTTTTTTTAATTTCTCATTTTGTAGTCTTGAGTTAGTTTGCTTCTTTTTTTCTAAATCAGTTTTTGCTGTTTTTAAAGAAGTTACGCAAGGCAAAGTATCTTGTGATACATTTTTTTGGTAACTCCGCCTAATATAACAATAATTCTGTGCCATCAAGTCAATTTGAATATATGTCTAACCTTTGCAGGGTTTTCCAGGTAGAGAATACTCAGAAGTGGTTAACCATTGTGACTGACAGGTCAGTAACCACTCCTGTCCATCACAATGGAACCCTGATGTAGCAACCAATGGTTGAACAGAAGGGGCGGAACTAAGGAAATATAAGAAGAATGGAAGACAGTTAAAGATCAGTTAGGGATATGAGTTAGAGTTAGGAACTTCAGTTAGGGACTTCATTTAAGGATATCAGTTGGATAGAAGCAGTTTATGTAGTTAGGGCCAGAAAGGTATTAGAGAAGAGTAATAGAGAGATAGTGAATAAGATAAGAAATGAATAAATACCTTGATTAAAATGATTCTTCATAAGCAAATATAAATGTTGTCAAAGCACAGTTTATTGAAGGAATAAAATAAGACCATCCATGATTCACTTTATATGATTTACTTATAAACACACAAATACGCATTGTTATATTGGATAACTGTGATTTAAGAGTCATATATATTTGATATAGTGAGGAACAAATCCTCTGGTGGCCGTGAAGAGGGTTGAAAAGTAAATGTCAGACCCGAAAGTTAACCTGGGTTGTGTGGAAGAACAAACAGGGGAACTGGGTGTGTGTGACAACCATTCTCTTCTTCTAGGAGTGCTTTGGGGCTGTGCAGCTTGTGGAGGCCACACAGGCTGGCTCTACTCCCAGGAAATGCAGTTTAGAATTGAACTCCCTACCTCAACCACTGAGCTATCCAGCCAGCTTTGCCTAACATATTGCATTTTATGTTTCCTAATGCATGCATTTCATATATGCTCTTTCCTCTAATAGTGGCTTCCAACCCTGAGTCCTCAGCAACTCCCAGAAATCCTGGCCAGCACAGCTAGTGGTGAAGGCTCTTGGGAGTTTTAGCCATCTGGGGACACAAGACTGGGAACCACTGCTCTAATGAATTCCTGTTTTTATTAAAGAGCTGCATCACAAAAGTGAGCAGAATGAAAAACAACAGTTTCAGTTTCTATGTTGGCTCTGGCTTTGTGCAGATTCAGTAGGCTCACAGAGATGGGTGTATTCGTATACAAACACACACACACACACACACACACACACACATATATTAACATCCCAGGCACAGAGTACCCCACTTGCACTGGAGCCAAGTGGCGTACTCTGTTTTTATATATAAAAACCAAAACCTTATCAACTTCTCTGTGTTGACAAGTCTCATCAAATATTTTTGGATATTGTATGACTGACCTTTCTTTTTCAGCTGTTGAACGGAACAACTTAATGAGGTTGGCTCAAACGATACCTTTCACGCCCGTACAGCTTTTTTGTGAGTAGTAGTTTCTGTTATTAACATGTGACGATATTGTAATAGCCAAGTATATTTTGATCCTGCATTTAAGCCTCATTGATATACGATTTATTTCTGAAAAAGAGTAGATGTTAAATCAGATTGTGTTAATTCTTCATAACACATATGTACACATCTTTTTATTTCTTTGTTGCATTCACTAGAAGTAGCTGTCATATATATATATTTCAAAATGAAGACTCAATGTGATATATTTTGTAAGTGTAAGTCAGTACAATTGTATTTTTGCCCCTGAATAATCTTTTCCGTTTCCTTTGGGGTTAGCTGGTGAAGAAGTGACGGTCTATAGATTAGAAGAAAGTTCACCTTTGAACCTTGCAAAAAGCGTATCTTCATGGTCCCAGCGTGGCATGGCTGCTATGATTCAGGTTTTATCTCGGCAGGAGATGGATGGGGGCCTGCGGAGAGCTGTGAAAGTTGTCTGCACTTGGTCTGAGAATGAGGTGCTAAAGGTGGGGCAGGTGTTCATTGTAAAGTCTTTCCTTCCTGAGGTGGTTCAGACTTGGCAGAACATCTTCCATGAAGGGACAGTGCTCCGTCTTTGCCTCAGAGTGAGTATGCGTTGACCAGAAACACATCCTGACCTGTGCTTTTAGAAATATTGCTTGAAGTTAAATGCTAACTACCTGGGGAAGTACAAGGGGAAAGTTACTTAGCTAGTGCTGCTGTCCCTTTTTCTGTCACCAGAACATTGGGTGCACATAAGACAGCTGAAGGTTGGTTGGCAAACAAAAACATAAATATGGTAGACCCTCACTTGGTATGCCAAGCCATATAATGATTTGGAGTGGCTGCTAATTTCTAGGTTGATGGCCATCTTAAAGATGTTTCAGTCTTTGTGTGGAGACTGGATAGCGAAAGTTATAAATCTTTGATTTATGCTAAGAAGAGAACTAGTATGATCATATCCACAGCTTGGAAATGTTGCTCCAGTGTCCATGCTGGGTGGGTGGTTGTATATTCCCCCCCAAAGCTAACCAAGCTAATCAAATGACTTTCTCATTTCACAGACTAAAATATTTTTTCCACCTGTCCTGGCAGTTTTTATTGACCTGTCCAAACCACAGTAGCATAAATCCCACTTTTATTTTAATCATAAAAAGATTGGCCTTTAGTAAGTTCCCATTTTTCACCCACTTGTGTAACATTTTAATGGACCCTGGTGATAATACTAACCTCTCTTATTTAAGAGCTATCTGATTGTCTTGATAATGGATCTGGGGTGATTTTTTTTGTAACAATATTTTTGTGGAAAATGCTGTTTCATTATTTATTATTATTGTTATTAGGAAATACAACAGCAAAGAGCAGCTCAGAAGCTGATCTATACCTTCAATCAAGTGAAGCCACATACCATTCCACACACTCCAAGGTATGGGAGATGTTTTCAGGCAGAACTTGGAAAAGACAAAGCCCAAATCCTTTTATATAATATATTTTGCTGTGTATTCAGTTATTGTGAGGCACTTCTTGCCACAGGGTTCTGGTTGAGAACTCCAACAAGTGTTAGGCAAGCCATTTATTATTTTCATAAAAGTATCTAACATCTTATCTTTCCAGTGTTAAATAAGTAATTACAGTAGCTAAAACAACTTAAAACCATAACTTATACTTTTATTTATGATGGGTTGCTTACACATCATGCTGATCACTTCTTTAGAAAATATAATTAGGAAGTATTAAGCAATTACCTTGCTGGGTGTTGCCCTACTAAGAGAAAGGTCGGCAGAGTAGTTGAAAAATAAACTTATAGGTAGCAAGCAGCAGTGCAGCTTTGTCAAGATTATTAACAGAATCTTAGGCTCAGATACTCATAACATCACAGAACCTCTGCTCAACTTGGTGTGACCTCAAAGCAAAATATGGGTGAAGGGAACTGAACTCTTTCCTTGCCCACCATTTATATACCTGTAACCTCTCCATACAAAGTGCCTCTCTGTCAGCCAGACTCCCTTCTGATATAGATGCCAACTCTAAAAGAAGTGGGCTTGTGGAGAAGGCTGCAACAAGTTATTCAGGCTTGGGGCAACCAAGTCACAACTTTGCCATCAATCTTACAGAAATTTTGTGGGACTTTTAAAATAGATGCACAGGGGTTCTGAGTAGCATGAAGACTGAAATCCTAAATATTATTTAATGGAGTTAGGTGGAATCAGTGGGAATCACTTTCAGATAACTTACATGTTAGGCCCTTTATAATGGACCCTACAACTTTAATGTGGGTGAAGATATCAAGGGTGTTCAGATGTCCCTTCCATGGTTGTGGTGTAATGAGCTTTTTCCATGGAGCTATCGGGAACCATGAGGAGTTTTACGCATATCATTTCATTATCAATACAGCTGTCAGCTCTTGACTTGGACATTTTCAGTGGGAACTGTACAGTAGAAAGCTTGATAGAAGACATGTACTTCCACCGCTATGCTGCGAAATGCAAATTGACGCTTACTGAGATTCTGTTGAAGAAAAATCCTTCAAAAATAGACTTGACAAACCTGATGCGTAGGTGGAAGTGTCTCCACATGACTGACACTGAAGTCTTGTAGAAAATCCGGTGATTTCTTGCAGGATACAGGGTCAAATTAGATGACAAGTCAATCAAGCTTTTTTTTAAACAGAGGTGCTCATCTCTGTGGGGAAGGCATTTGTCCTAGCATGTGATTTTTGTCAATGCGTCTTGTGTTTAGCATGGCTTGTTATGTGACTTTTTCTTTAAAAGGCTGGATTAATTTGCAATTTTGATCATTGAGATGTATCTCTGTGGAACTTCTGCTTTGGAAAAATGGATAAATTGTAGGGAATATATCTTCCCTTTAGTGGTCTGCACAGTGCTTGCAAGAACCTCCATCTTTTCTTTAATAAAGAATAGACATACATTTATGAAACTGCTGTACTGAAGTTAACAAGGAAACCTGGGCAGAAGCTCTGTGGGCACAGTGGAATGCCTGCAGGTCTCTGAAATGGAGCAGGGGTGTCAGCTTATAAGAAGTGTTACTTTGGCACAGACAGCAATGATATATATGACAGAATTGTTAATACACTCAGTTTAAGCTTCATGTAGCAGCTTGTACAAGCTTGGTCCTATACCTATCTGCTGAATGTGTTGACAATGTGTATATTTGGCTTGTGCCATTGATATTTGTGTGTGTGTTATATGTGTGTGTGCGTGTGTATTAAAATAAGCACTCTTGGGCAACTTCAGCAAAGCCACATTGTGTCTATACACCTCTGAGAGAATTTGTGGATTAATTTTAAGTTACATCTGACATATGCAAGGATTACCCCTTGAGGTCTGAGGTCCTGTTTCTGGCTATCTTCAATATTATATGAAGCAGGGCCAATGATTAAGTGCAATGAGGTGAAGTTTTGATAGTTTAGTTTATTAGGTGACCATGGCAATTAAGTTTTGTGTTGCCATTGTGTGGAATAGTGATACATTATTTTAACAACTCAGTCAATAATGTTGTGACATGACACTAGGACATGTGCATTGACTCTTGGACACCACCACTGGGGAAGGGAGAAGGAACAAAGGCACTGTTTACTACAGTTAAATGGGATTTTCCAGGGCATGCTAGAGGCAGGATATATAGCTGTGGCAAAGGCTGAGTAGGGCATTCTCTCTAAAATCTCAGGAGGGCACAAAGACACATACGCTCCCATTCTCCATAAGCTGTCTATTGGAGCACGTACTTTTGTTGTCATTTGTGGTCTCACAAATCCCTCTTAACTCTTGTCCTTATATTTTAAAAAATGATATTTTACTAAGATGTGGGGGGAGATTTTTCCTGATAATACAGATCAAGAGATGAGGGGAAAACCTTACCACATCACCTGTTTTCACAGAGGTCTCCTTTGACTTCATCTTGCCTGATCATGGTCGCCAGACCACATTGTGCAGACGCTGCGGGACAATATAAACACAAACCCGCCCAGTACGTAACTGTCTTGCTGTTTCCTTGCAAGACATGGCACATTTCCATTTTCTTTTTTTCACAGTGGGTTGTATTTAGCATTTTTGCCTTTCATAATAATGATTACATGCTGTAGAGTTAGTTCTGACCTGTGGTAATTCTTTCCAGAGTTTTCTAGGTAGAGAAGTGGTTTAAAATCCCCTTCTTCTGGGGGCGTCCTGGGACTGTGCAGCTTGCCCAAAGCTACACAGGCTGGCTCTACTCCTGGGTTGCACAGTGGATAATTAAATTCCCAACATCTGAGTCTGTGGTCAGATACCTAAACCCACTCTCCATGCAGCTCTTCTCTTTTCTTAGTGGAAGAATAAGTTTTGACCTCTGATCCAAAGCTCTGAGGCCTTACATTTGTACTGAATCGGATCTCCCTTTGTAGTTGTTCTTGAAAATGGCAGAATTTTGTTCATGGTCAGGCTTGTTACAGCTATTCAATCTTTTGCTTTTGTAGCTCTCAGATCAAACCAGACACCACTGTAGCAGTTCAAAATCCTTTCACATTTATGTATTAATTTCCCCTGCCATGCAGAGGGACTATATTTAAATACCCACCTATGATGGCTGTATTTTAAGTTTCCCCATCCGTCTATATTTATTTGATGAGAAAGATCATAACTTGGTTCTTCTGAGTAGTTAAAATAACATTTTATGATTTGTTTTACAAGCAATTTTATAGAGTATCAAGAGTGACATTGGCCTCTCTCCCCTAAAAAAGTATCTAAACTCTTTATAAAACTGAAAATCAGCCTTCCATTTCAGAAGAGTTTTAACCTGATTTTTATTAGAAGGAATAAGCCTGTCTGATTTTTTTTGAAAGACTTTGTCTTCACTTGTTTGCAGAACTATAACTAGAGTAATAATTTTGCTGTTATCTGTCTCCTCTGATTACTCAGGTACAAATATGTTTCTGGTGAGGCTGCAGAAGTCTTGATGTAATGACTTTATGAAGAGAGTGAGCTAAAGCATATTACAGTAAATAAGGGTGTTTTCACCAGCCATAGAATAGCAAATAATTCATTTACGTATCGAAGGATTTTTTTTTAAAAATTACACACCTGTTCCTGCTTCCTTTTGCTTATAGTAATTTATTATTTTAGATGAAATATACCAAGATTCCATATCATGGAGCTTAATATAGTGATGTACTTGTATGTCAGCCTATTCTAATTATTGTTTAGATTGAGATATCTGGCATCATAAACAGAATCCATCAGCAAAAATCTTTTTTGAGGGGGCACATGCCCACGCTGACAGAGGGCCTGGAGGAGGTTACATTTCCCCCCACTCTCACCAAAATGTGTTAAAATATGGAGGCTGCTGATTACTGCAAAAAAAAAAAAAGTCATGTTAAATGGCTGTTTTGAAGGCCAATAGTTTCTGGTTCTTTTTTATTTCATGAGAGGTTGTCAATTATCTTTACTACTAATGGTGATATTAGACTTCCCCAGTCATCTTGGTCATTGTATGTAGTGGACTGGGGGATTATGAGCTTCGTAGTCCAAAAAGTAGCTTTTCAAAACTCTAGTTTTCACCCTTTGTGAAAACTACCTGGGAGGAGGGCGCAGGGTTTTTAAAATAGTATTTTGTGTTTCTTCCAGCGAGCCCCTTCCTTCTGTTCTAATCATCAGGAATTTTAAGAAACGCATTATCAGTGACAGTACCCAGACTTTAGAATTTCTGTCTGAGGGCATCTCCTCTAGACATTTATTAAAGGCCTCTAGGCAGGCACTACCCTTTCTGTTTAAATAGGCATTTGGCATACTGTATTCTTGGTCAGATTTCTATTTTCCTGTTGTCTGTTTCAAGTTATATTTTCAGTTATTTTTCCCTTATGATATCCGGCTCTTATCTGATTTTTTAGATGCTCATCTTGTAATATTGCTCATTTGTTCATATGATTTTTTTTTTAAATCTTGGATTTTGCTGTTCATGGACTATAAGTATGGCATATCTTTGTTTTGGCCAAATCCTTTAAATAGGATCGAATTTCATAATTTTACTATAAAGAAGGTACGTAGATTCTTTTTCTCCAGGTTCACTTTTTGGGGTGGTGGGATGAGTAACACATTTGAGAGCTTCACTGCCACCTTCACACCAAGTCTGGAGACCTGGGGAAATACACTACGTATGTAGATTAGGTTTCCACTCACTCTTGAAATGTGTGATGGAATCACCATCTTTTACATGGGATGCTTCTGCTGGCAGGCATCTTCTTTAGGCAGTAGTAGTGAGAAAACTCAGTACAACTTATTGCTCTGTGGACATATTGCATGGTTAGCAAAAATATAAATAATATGTAGAGGCTGCTGCATATTCTTAGCCATTCTGAGTTGGGCAGAAGATTCAACTGGGAATGGTGCTGTATAAGCAGCACACTTTGCTTTTTTTGCTTTGGTGTATTTAGCAATGGTTTAGGGCTCATAGAATAGTTCTTACTATTCAGTTATGCTTTGCTTTTTTTTTTTTTGCTTTGGTGCATTTAGCAATGGTGTGGGGCTCATAGAATAGTTCTTACTATTCAGTTAACTCTCTGATTGACAGTATCCTTTCCTTCAGGTTCTTAGAGGTCTTCTTAATTTACTGCCATTCAGCCAACCAGTGGCTGACAATAGAGAAGTACATGACGGGAGAGTTCCGCAAGTACAATAACAACAACGGAGATGAGATCACACCCCATAATTTGCTGGAAGAAACTATGCTGGCTTTTTCTCACTGGACCTATGAGTATACCCGGGGAGAGCTCCTTGTACTGGATTTGCAAGGTGAGTGGTGCCACACAATGAAATCCGGGGATGCCTGTAAAGTCCTTGTGTGCTGTTTGCATGAACAGAGGCTAGATACAGCTGTATTTTCTTCATGCCTTGAAAATCGTAGTGTTTGCCATAGAACAAAATGGATAGGGCAGAACAACTGTACAGCCAAATTCTTGAAGAGATACATGCCATTTTTGGGCTCTGACCTCGAAGTGCCACCTTTTGTACAGAGACCTAGACAGTTGCATACTTCTGGCTGTTGCCATTCACCTGCTTGGTTTCAAGCTCTCCTCTTCTCTTTAACCATTCTGATCTTTGGTTACAGCAAAGATTAAAGTTCCAAATTATGCAGTAATGGAAGACCTGGGGGGAAACCAGATGTGGCAGATGTTTACAGTATGCTGTACACTTCCTTTAGGCCCCAGGCAATTGTCAATGCTAATAAATAATTGTTCTTCTATTGCAAGCTGCACATAGAACTGCAACTGCCTTTTTGAAACAAGCAGAGATATTATGCACTTTGAAAATACCCTTTCTGCATTTTCCCGTATACAGCAGTGTGTGTGTCATAAGTACCATGAAAGGAAAAGATCAATTTCACCTGAGCAGCTATTTGAAGGAAAATAAATCATAATTAATACTAAAAAAACAGATATTTAAAATGTGATCCTGTACATTTCTACACAAGAATCTAATAGATTTAGACATATCTCAAGCAAAGGTGAACTGAAAATGCTTCCTCATTTTAAAGGAATCCATTCATAGGCTGCAGTTGATGTTCTCAAGAGTGGGAGGAATTTTTCAAAATTTCCAGGAAGTTCAGGGATACCAGGGAAGCAGCAGTTGGGCTCTTCCCCTCTCCAAAGTCTTGAACTAGAGGTGAGGTGAATTCGCAAATTACTGCATTGATTCTAACCATGAATGAGAGATAAGCCATAACACTTCATTAGCTACAGCTGTATGTTTTGATGTGATGTGAGGCAAGCTAGAGGCACCTAGACAACAAAAACTGTGCTTCTTAAAACAAGGGTCAAACTAGACAGTACACTTATTTATGTATTTATGTATTCATTTATTTTCATTTTAGGCTGCCTTTCTTGCAATAAGGGAATAAATCAGCTAGCACATTTTGGAAGACGTGTTCTCCCAAGTGGTGAAAGACAGCTGCCACAGCAATGTGATTTTCCTTTTCTATGTACCTTGCATTTACAGTGCCTCTTTTTATGATTGGTCAAGCTAAACAGAGGCTTAATTTGCAAGTCTGATTGCCAAGGTACATATTGCTATAGATATCACATAGTGGAAGGAAAAAGAGGATAATAACACATTCCTCTTAAGATTTAGTTTGACTCTTAATTATTCAATTGCCACAAGTGGCAGTGGACCTAAAAATGTAATCAGTGGTAGGGCTGGCTATGTCATCTTCTCTAGCATGACTGAAATAGCAGTGTACCCAGATGTGAATATCTTTCCAGAAACATATGTAGGTGGCGGGGAAGGTGTTGTATCTTGCCGGTGACTTATGGTTGTATCTTTTTTGCTGTTAATGTGAAGAGAACAATTAATATTAAAAACAAAGATATTTACTTGAGGAAAAAAAAAGGTAGTGCCAAACCTCCTTTCCTGGGGAAGGTGTTGTATCTTGTCGGTGACTTATGGTTGTATCTCTTTTGCTGTTAGTGTGAAGAGAACAATTAATATTAAAAGCAAAGATATTTACTTGAGGGGAAAAAAAAGGTAGTGCCAAACCTCCTTTCCGGGTAAGCCACAACCTGCCATACTAGCACTGAAAGATCATGTGCTCTAAAGGGAAACTGTCGTAAGGGGAAGAAATAAGCATTTCCATGAAGATGTGATCTGACCCTGAGTGTGGTGATACATCCAAACATTTCCTTTCCTAACCATTGGATCTAAAAGGATGTGGAGGCCATAGTTTTGTTTTGTTTTGTTTGACATAAGAATTAGACACATAATGTACAGTCAGAGGGGAAAAATGCAAGCTAGCTGAAGTGGAGTTGGAGAAACTGAGAAAAAAAGTTAGACAGGTTATCTGCGTATCTATTTATTAAGAACTTAAAATGGCAGGCTGTGTCATGTTACATAATTTATATATGGGTTAGTGTGCACTCTGGGCTCTACATGGGCAAGGGGGGGCTCAGACAGGCTTTGAGGAATCCACATATCAGCTATTCAGTTGTGGTTCAACAAAACTCATTTTTAATTTTTTTTTTTGCCATGAACAACTTAGCAGCCCTCCTCTGTGCCCCTGGCCACCCCAAAATTGCTAGTGGTTCATCATCCCTGGGTTTCCCTGTTTCAACTGACAGTTCTCAGTGGAGCCCTAGATTTGTTGCTCCAAGTTATAAACGAGGTTTTTAGAATGTTGGAGTTGCCAAGCCTGTCTCTTCCAACTTCACCACCTCTTCTGAACTGGAGTGGGCCAGTTCTCCTCCAGGGCAAGGATCTCCCTGGGGAGTGTCTTCAGGGCATTTTACAACAACACAGGATCCTCCCTTCTCACTCCTCCTCCACAGCTTCATTGTTTCCTGTCCTTGCTGTTCCCCAGGGCATTGGGGGTTCACTGACAAGTGCAGTGGGAGGTATGGGTGTGAGTCTGCCTTGGACAGCCTTGCTGACTCTGTCTCAGTTAGGAAGTGCTTGGTCTCCATATTTAAATCAGACTGTCCAAATCATATCAAACACCTTCAGTTTGCAGGCCCTGTTGACTGCAACTACTCAGCCCAAAGCATTGTATTTGGCTTTCTTGGGGGGAGGGCAGGGTGAATGGGTTCTGACAGGGCATTTGGAAAAACTACTTTTTAAAACTGTGATGGCGACCTCAAAGTGGACATGTGGATCTTGTGTTTATGTCTCTAATATTCCATTCTTGGGGAAAGTGGTAGTGTGCGTTGTGGCTTCTAAACTCCTGGGGTTCCTGGATTATCTAGATTATTTAGATCAGGGATCTCCAAACTATGACCTGTGGGCCACATCCTGCCCACCTTGCCATTTAATCTGGCCCGTTCCCTTCAGCCTGTGTGTCTGTCGGCCCAGCCGGGCATCTCGGTGTGTGTGTGTGTGCATCCATTTGGGTGGGGGTGGGGGCAGCCGGGCAGCCATGTGTATGCACGTTCCTTTGGTCCTCAAACGTGTGGAAAATATTCAATGTGTCCCTCACACTCAAAAGTTTAGAGACCCCTGATCCAGATCCATTTCAGTCTGACTTCAGGCCTGGTTATGGAATGGACATTGCTCTGGTCATTTTGGTGGTTGGTCTACGCCTAGAAATGGATAAAGGGAATGTGTCCCTATTGGTTCTGTGGATTCCCATACCATCAACCATGGTATTCTCCTGATTCATCTCTCTGTGATGGGACCTGAAGGCACTGTTTTACAGTGGATCTGATCCTTCCTGGTTGAGATAATTCAGAAGGTGGTGCTGGGGACTCCTGTTTGACACCCTGGCTGCTGGCTTGTGCTCCCCCTCCCTCCGAGTTCTGTTTTGTCTCCTATGTTATTTAACTTCTACATGAAACCGCTGGGAGAGATTGTCCAGAGTTTGGGGGTTCGATGTCACCAGTACGCAGATGACACCCAACTCTATTTCTCCATGCCATCTAAATCTGAGGAACCTGTTTCACCTCTAGATCAATGTTTAGTGTCATTAATGAACTGGATGAAGGGGAATGAACAGAAACATAATCCAGATGAGCCAGAAGTGCTCTTGGATTCATCTCTGAGTCTGGATGCCCAGGTTTCAGCGATGGGCAGGAGTGCCTTTGCACAATTAAAACTAGTGTGCCAGCTGCACCTGTTCCTGGAGGAGTCTGTATTGGTGATTGTGACACACACCTTAGTTACATCCTGGGTGTATTGCTGTAATGTGCTCTATGTGGGTCTGCCTTTGGGAAGTGTTCAGAAATCTCAGCAGCTCCAAAAGGCTGCAGTCAGATTGTTAGCAGGGGCTGGTTACAGGGGAGCACATAACCCCCTTCTTACAGCAGTTCCAGTGGCTGCTGATCTGTTTCCAGGCACAATTCAAAGTGCTGGTTCTAATCTGTAAAGCCCTAAATGGCTATCTCTCTATCAAGGACTGTGTCTCCCTTTAGAAACCTGCCTGGGTGTTAAGATCATCAGGGGAGGCCTTTCTCTTGGTCTCACCATCTTCGCAAGTGTGCTCGGTGGGGACATGGGGCTTTTTCTGTTGCTGCTCCCACTCTGGAATTCCCTTCTACAGGAGATCAGGTTGGCCCTGTCTTTGCTGTCCTTCAGCAAGCAGGCAGAGATCTTTCTTTTCAGGCAAACTTCCCCTCAATAACTCAATGTTTAATACAGTGGTTCCCAGCTTTAGGTCCCCAGATGTTCTTGGACTAAAACTCCCAGAAGCCTTCACTGCTAGCTGTGCTGGGCCAGGATTCCCGTGTATGACAAATTAAGGTTTATAAATATTTTGCCGTCATCTTTCAATAAAAGGAAACCACAAGTCTCATGTTAACAACGTGGTACATACAGCACAAAAATCTAGCCTTGCTATACTAAAATTCTTCTATACAAAGGGAGGTCAGTACATTCCAGCTGCACTAAGATTGTTTCAGGCCAAATCCCTTAGTCAGCTCTTGTATGGGGCACAATTGGGCCCCTATTCTTCATTTATCCAGTTAGTAGTAGTTCAATCTAAATTTGTGAGGGCTATCTTACAAGTCCCAAGAGGGGTATCCAATGCAGCCCTTAGGCTTGAAGTGGGCTACCTGAAGGTTGAAGCCAGAGCTTGGCTGGCTATTTTTAGCTTTTGGCCTTTCAACCAATTGGACTGACTTCACTGGTATTACAGGATAACCATCAGTCACCTTGGAAGAGAGCAATATACCATAAAATCAACAGATATCCCTGTTTTTATTATTATCCCTGTTGTTGTTGTTGTTGTTGTTGTTGTTGTTGTTGTTGTTGTTGTTGTTATTATTATTATTATTATTATTATTAGGGAGAAAGGTGAAGTAAGAATAAATAAATAAATAAGTTGATCCATTTTGTTCAATATTAGTAGAGTGTGCACTACCGGGATATATTCTATGATTACAATTTTTAACTATGGCAATTACATATAGTACCCATCCTGATGTATTTTCTGGTGTACACGTGGATCCACAAAACACATAGAATTTAAATGCTAATGTCATTTGCCCTTCTATTAAAAGGAGAAAGGAAGATTCAGCTTTAAAAAATGAGATGAGCATGTGCCAAAGGCTAATAAATTGTATAGTTCTAATGTGTTTTTTTTCATTTACTGTTTTCAAAAGCAAAAGATAAGATAACCATAAAATAATTGTGAATGTTACAATTTCACAAATGGCAGAAAGACAATTGCCTTCTAATACCCTTTCAAAATTTGACTTCTACAGGTGTTGGAGAGAACCTTACAGATCCATCTGTTATTAAACCTGAAGACAAGCAGTAAGTACCTAGTGTCCCTTTATCATGGAAAATGTGACATGTTTTCATGTGATTGAAGTAATATGCAATTTTAACTGGGATGCATATATACATATTTGTATAGCTGCTGACAAGGGTGCTCTTTATGTTGTGATTATCATTACAGTTTCCCATTTGTTTTGAAGTTTGTTTGTTTGGCTTATTTCATTCCATTTTATTTTTTTGCCGATTAGCATACAGTGGACCCTTGACTTACATTTATTTCATTTCATTTTATTTTTTGGTCGATTAGCATACTGCAATGTGTTGCACTTCCAGTTAGGTTTAAAGGCCATGGAAGGAAATTTTGTATGTTTCTAAATGCAGAAAAGCATTTATTGAAAAGCCGTGGTTACAGGGTGTGGGAGGGGAGTAAGGAAACCATGTATTCTTTACCTCTGTTGACTGAGTAGACTTATTTGTGTCTGAATACAGCTTAAGATCCTGAATTTAATGTGCAGTCATTTGAGTTTGGTTCTCCATCCACTATTGGGCAGTGTGTTGCACTTCCAGTTAGGTTTAAAGGCCATGGAAGGAAATTTTGTATGTTTCTAAATGCAGAAAAGCATTTATTGAAAAGCCGTGGTTACAGGGTGTGGGAGGGGAGTAAGGAAACCATGTATTCTTTACCTCTGTTGACTGAGTAGACTTATTTGTGTCTGAATACAGCTTAAGATCCTGAATTTAATGTGCAGTCATTTGAGTTTGGTTCTCCATCCACTATTGGAGAGATACTTCCAAGAGATTATGCTCAGAACTTCTGAGAGATTATGCTCAGAATTCCATGTTCATGCTTACTATTTTGATATCTTTTCTTACCACCTCCATCCCTTCTTCTCTCCATGAATGTTTTAGAAGTGTAGTTTACATTGTATATAAATAATAATTATCTAGCAGGAAAGTTCTACATAAGGACTTAAGCAATTGTTCAAAGCATCTGTTAGGAAAAGCATTTGGGTAATTACACTTGAGTAAATCTGTGGAGAGGAGCAATCATGTTAATCCCAGCTGCTGCTAAAGCTTCAGGCAGAGACGGTGGATTCCTCAAACTGTAAACACAATGGGCAAAAACTTATAGTGCAGTGACACAAGATGAGTAACTTTTCGGAATTGAAACATTAAGAAACATTAAGAAACATCTGAGGACATTATCTGTTGCATGCTGAGTTGTACAACAGATAATGTTTATGAAGATACACCTGCTGCACAACAAGATATAAATTAATATTTTTGAAATTTTACAAAGGTCTTCTGAGCATACAGCAGTGGCTCCAAAAGTTAGTAGTAGTAGTAGTAGTAGTAATAACAACAACAACAACAACAACCATCATCATCATCATCATCATCATCATCTACTGATTCTTCATAGAAGCCTCTGGGCTGCAAGGTCAGAAGACCAGCAGTTGTAAGATCGAATCGACGTGACGGAGTGAGCTCCCGTTGCTTGTCCCAGCTCCTGCCAACCTAGCAGTTCGGAAGCATGTAAATGCAAGTAGATAAATAGGTACCACCTTGGTGGGAAGGTAACAGCATTCCGTGTGTAGTTATGGTGGCCACATGACCACAGAAACTGCCCTGGACAAACGCTGGCTCTGTGGCTTGGAAACAGGGATGAGCACTGCCCCCCTAGAGTCAGACACAACTGGACTAAATGTCAAGGGGAACCTTTATCTTTACCTTACTGATCCTTCACACAGCTTTGATCAGAGGTGCCACAACTTCAGTGTCGTTAAATCAGGGATGCACATTTTGCTTCCCTTTAAACTGTATTTGGTGTTGACTGGGAATTGCAAACTCATTCATATAATCTCTTCCTCCTGCACCCATATGAAGATATACAGTACGTATCTCAGGACACCCACAGAATTCCCTTCTCACCCCATTAGCAGACTCCCATCTCTCAGAAATCTCCATTGAGATCACTTTTATGAGCAGCATATCAGGTCACCAGACCATAGTTGTTCAATAGGCTTTGATGGAGAATGAGGGTTGGATCTCTCCATCAAAGCCTGTTGAAAAACTAGAGTTTTTTCCCCCTTCCCTGTCCTCTACAGTTACAGCTAAGTTTTCTAAATAAGTGTGTTCTGAGAATCTTCCCTGTCCTCTACAGTTACAGTTTTCTAAATAAGTGTGTTCTGAGAATCACGCTTGCTAACAAAAATATTCCAAGCCAATTAAGCAAAGCCAATAAAAGATAATAATTTAAGAAACAAATTCCTTCAATATGAAAATAAAATGCAATACCTTCTTGTACATCTTTTTCTTTAGTGTTTACTGTCCTGGTTAAATTTTCAAGACCAAATTGAGTCAGTAGCTCTAAAATTAGCAATTGTTGATCCGAGAAATTTGCATTTAAAATCTGCTACCAATTATGCAACATCAGCAGTGATGCTACCTGCCTGGCAGTTTATCTCTCCATTGTAAATAGAATAGAATGTACTTTCACAAATGCTTCCTTTGTTAGCAGGATTGCTTTCTCCCAGAGGGTGTCAGGTTGTAGAGATCTGTTCAATGGGGATGCAGATAAATACAGTCTACTCTTTACTGGGACTCTTTTGATTTTGAATCTTTTGTAGAATCTAGATTCTGGCAACACTGTGAAATCTCCAGCAGGATTAATTTCTACTCAGGTGGTAATTGTCTGCACAGTGTGTGCATTCTCAAATCAAATAGACAGGGAATATTTTTGTTTGCTCTGATAGTTATCACAAAACATTTCAATCAGAGAAACCTTTTACTGTTGAGTTTCTGCCAATTTCTATTGTACGTGTATATGTAGGCCTTTTTTATTCAACCCTATTCCTAATAATAATAGTACGCAGTCCAGGCTACACACAAGTGCATATTGCAGGTAGATAGCTCTTGATAATACAGTGGTGCCTCGCTTAACAAGCGCACCGTATAACGACGAATCCGCATAGCGATCCCGTTTTCAGGATTGCTAATGCGGAGGCATAGCGTCGGCCCCAATGGGCAAAACTCACATAGCGAAGATCGGTAAGCATTTCGCTTACCGATCTTCGCTTTGCGATGCCCGCAGATCAGCTGCTCGGTGGTTTCAAAATGGCCGCCGGATGCCCAAAATGGCCACGCGCAGCGTTTTTGCCCCCTCCCCTCGCTTACCGAGGGTGCGAAAATGGCTGCCGGACCCTGAAAACTTCGCTAAACGGTGAGTTTTGTGCCCATTTCCAATGGGCTTCCCTGTTCCATTTAGCAAAGTTTTCACATAGCGAAGGTTAATCTGGAACGGATTAACCTCGCTATGCGGGGCACCACTGTATTAATTGACACCCCATGATAGAGTGCTTTAGATTTCAGTTTAAGTTCAGGAATGACACGAGTACTAAAACAGAGAGTGTGTGGAATATGCTGCAGGTCATCCTTATGGTACTACTGATAGAAGTACAGTGTCAGCAACAAAGGATGGGTCACGAACTTTTTCACATCTCAGAAACACGAGCACATTTATCAAATGTATAACACAGTTAGTCTTGATGCCCATACTTTGCACTTTGCTTTTGTATACTTTCCAAGTAGTTAATCACTCTTTGGAAAGTTAGTAAGATTTTCCAAGCACTTAATCACGACTGGGTTGGTATATTGATGCATTGGCTAAATTTTGCAGCAGAATTGATTTTTTTTATACTGAATCGGAAAGAAAGTACTATATACATTTATAAAATAAACTGTAAGGGCCAGGGCGTTGTTGCTATTGTTGTCATTGTCACTGTTTCTTGTTATCATTGTTTCTCAATTAGGATTGGCGGCAGATAGATGCAGGTGACATGTCAAAATATAGACTACACATTTATATGAACTCTGTCATCTCTTCCAGATCTAGAAGGATGGCTTTTGGCCCAGCAAACCTTGGGAAGGAAGCAATCAAAAACTTCATTTCAAAGCATCGCTGTAACTCTTGCTGCAGGAAATTCAGACTTCCCGGTATGCAGTAGAAATGCCCTGCAGGTTCCTGAGGAAACCTGTCCTGAGAGGAGCTAAACCATGAATCTATAATACATTGTGCTTGCTGCATTGCTGAAATTCTAACCTCTACACATTATTTATTTTATTTGACTATATTTTATTTATATCCTGATCTTCTACTAAACATAGTGCTGGGATAACTATAAAGAATAACAAAATACAGATATAGGTATAGAACTGTAAACACAGACACACACAGACACACAGACACACACACACCCCTAGAAAATCAATAGCAATTTTTATTTTTATAAATTAAATTTTATTTATTTTTTAAAAAAGAGAAACAGGCAGCATCCATCCACTAAAACCAGCACACAGGTGGGTGGGTGGAAGCTTTAGAAGCAAAATCTGGTGAGAATAAAAATGTATTTGCCTACCAATAGAAGTACAACAGTGATGGATCTAGTCGGGTCCCCTTTGCTTGTCTTCCTGGTTCCTGGATCTTATGATACCAAAACTTTCCAGGAGGAATTCTTTTAGGAATTCTCCATATGCCTGGATTTTCTGCGGGTCTTGTGGATTCTGCTGAGAAGCGATATGTTAATGTAGATGCAAAACTACATTGCAGTGATCAGCGGTAGGTTACCCTTCTTTGTTTTGCATTCTCTTTTCAGATTTCATAGCAGGCATTTAATTATTTTCTTCATACAGAAACCTTGGCCTGAACTAGGCAATGTAATTAACTTATTATAGAGCAGAGCTTCCGTTAAGAGGGACAGAATAACTGTTTGTTCTAATACATGCTTGCCTCAACTTCCATTGAGTAAATTCACCTACTTCCATTTTAGAATTGGGCAGCATCCATCCACTAAAACCAGCACACAGGTGGGTGGGTGGAAGCTTTAGAAGCAAAATCTGGTGAGAATAAAAATGTATTTGCCTGCCAATAGAAGTACAACAGTGATGGATCTAGTCGGGTCCCCTTTGCTTGTCTTCCTGGTTCCTGGATCTTATGATACCAAAACTTTCCAGGAGGAATTCTTTTAGGAATTCTCCATATGCCTGGATTTTCTGCGGGTCTTGTGGATTCTGCTGAGAAGCGATATGTTAATGTAGATGCAAAACTACATTGCAGTGATCAGCTGTAGGTTACCCTTCTTTGTTTGGCATTCTCTTTTCAGATTTCATAGCAGGCATTTAATTATTTTCTTCATACAGAAACCTTGGCCTGAACTAGGCAATGTAATTAACTTATTATAGAGCAGAGCTTCCGTTAAGAGGGACAGAATAACTGTTTGTTCTAATACATGCTTGCCTCAACTTCCATTGAGTAAATTCACCTACTTCCATTTTAGAATTGGTTGCTGGTAGAGAAACCCTTAGATCAGTTGTTAGTAATGTGGCCAAGGGAATAAGTTTAAACATTGAAATAAGGAATGCCCACATCCATTTTTATTAGGCCATTGGTCTTTGCCACTTTGTGGTGGAGAAAGAGTTTGCAGAGTCAAACCACTGGGAGTTTCTGATAAGGAGAGATGATGTTGCCTCCTTCAGACTTACATTGGCTGCAGTCCTCATAGCTGCTGGGTTTGAAGTCCTGTTCACAGAGCTACATTATGTTAAAAAAAACCCTCTAATTTTCCCCTTCTCCCTAAGGGTCCTGAGTCTCCCATGAATACCTTTCATCACAGGGAGGCCATTGGGGGTCATTGAACAGGGGATAAATGTCTTTAATTTCCTCAAATAGCTATAAAATCATTGCTGTGGTGGCAATTCTTGGACGTTAAAGACTTCTGCCCCATCTTGTGACCTCGAACAACTTCCATGATGAAAGGGATGCCATGGGAGGCCCTGGACATTTTTTTTTGGAGGGGAATCAGAAATTTTCTATTTCCAAAAATCCCTATAGCTGATAACATTGTCAGCCTTATGCAGCGTAGGTTATGGAACAGGATGCCAGCCAAAATATTTTTGTTAGGTATCCCTGTAATTGTGTAACGCACTTTTCCATCCTATGGGCTGATTATTGTCTTTCCTTATCCTTGCAAGCTGTGTCTCAGTTTTTACTTGTTTCCTCCATAGATTTGAAAAGAAATGACTACACACCTGGAAGGCTGAATTTGTCTTTTGATGCTGGAACTGAAACAGTGGTAACAGCAGGAGATGAAGCTGCTAACAGTTGTAATGAGGAGCATGTGGAGTATTGTAGTCGACTGTGATCCAGGGGGTTGGCAAGCAGGAACTAACCACCTGAGTTCTTGAATATTTGTACCCAAGATTGAGTTTGTCTGCAGAGACAAACATTTTGCCTTGTAAAAGGAAATGAAAGCTATTTATAACATGCGTATGAAGAGTCCGAACAGATTTCCAATGGAAAAGGAACCTCTTTAGTTACTGCTATCAGTGCATTTTAGCTTGTATTGATTTTTCCTGAGATTATCCATGAAAGTCACTGGGATCATTGGGAGTGATGCCATTTATTCATATTTTATCAAAGTTGCTGATGAAAAGTTACTGATGGTAAAAGAGAATAATGACAATGGAACAAGCAGATGATTTTTTTTAAACTTCTGTCTTTCTCCTCTCCTCTCCTCCTGGATGGGCAGACACTGCCAATCCAACATTGTCATGGAGCCACAGCAAAAACTGTGCTGGTTCCATTCACCTTCTAATCCCCACACACACCTCCCCCCTACCACAGCTTTTGTCTCATGCCTGAAACCAAGGAACTGCAAAATGATCAGTGATCTTATTTCCCATAATGCCTGCTCAGTCACAAATTCTGTATCTGCTTTACACAGCATGCTGAGAAATTCTCAGGTACAATGCCATTTTCCTGAAAGAAATATATTTTTCTTTGAACTGAGGCAACATTTATCAGGTATTTCTGCCGGTCAGTGCAGGAGCCTTACCAGAGATGCTGTACCCCCTTTCTTGTATACTGTACTTTGTCTCTTTGGGAATGGCACAAAATACAGATGACAGTGGAGCTGGAAAGGGACAGCTAGAAATGAGAAAATAAGTATCTTTGTCCATTTAGCATTTATATATATTTATACATTGGTTCGATAACACGTTCTTCAGGTGATTTCACTGGTAGCCTTAAGAGAAACAGCACAAGAGAAGGCTAAAGAAAAGTCATTGTCAGGCATTAACAACGGTAATGTTGTGTCATTAAAACACTAATCAGGTAGTATAGAACCTGGGTTTGTCAATTGCTCTATGGCACATGGGAGTCCTCCTCTTCTCTGTTCCTTTTTTTCATGTGGTCAGTGATGAGTCTGAAGAGGAGAGGCTTATGCTGGTGTTTATGCTCGACATGCCAACAAGAACCCAGCTTTTCCACTTCAAAAGTTTTGACAGTGCTTCCTTGTAGTCAAATTCATCAGTGATCAGAACTACTGTGTCTTCAGTCATTGTGCAGAAGGGAGAATATCTTGACAAATGTATTTTCCTATTTTATAGTTGTGGAGAAGTTTGCTTCTGCTGAAATCCTTACTGTGATGTAACTACTTTCCAACTTGTTTGTTCTTGGATTAATGACACTTCAGTCAGGATTGGATGTAGGCGAATCATACTAATGGACAGCTGGTTGGCCCCTATATCTGGTATGGGAGTGACAAGAGCTAAAAGAAGATCTGTTTCTGTCGTTAAAAGTTTTTTGAGGAGAAGCAGTGATGACAGTTTAAGTTACTTCAGGAGTTACAAGTTTTGCCCACTTGTGTGCTTGCTATTTTATCCTGGTAGTACCAGTTTAACCTGTGTATTCGTAAATAAATATATTATTTACAAATATATTACATGATTCCAATTCTTTTTTCTGTAAAGATAATCGTTCTAAACTTCGCCTCAGTTGGAAAAGGTTGGACATACAATCCAGAAAATTGCAACATCCCTGTCCAGGGTTTAATACAGCATCTTACTATACACATAGTGTGCTTTATGGGTAGAGTGACAAGAGGTAGGAGACCTGCGTTCAAACCCCCATAGACCGTTGGAAACTCACTGGTCTGGCACCGGTAGAACCACTCTTTAAATATCTCACATAGATTGAAGACCCTGTTTGGGTCTCCATAAGATAGATGCAGCTTGAGAGCACATAACAAGAACAGTTATATACAGTGCTCATGAGGGATCTGTATAGTGAAGTCACCATTTTACAATCCACATTAATTCTATTTACAGTTCTTTGTGTTGTAATAAAGGTCCACATAGCTTATGTGTGGTGGGCATTACTATATAGTGAGCATCACACCCTACCTCTAATTCTATGGTTCCCTGACTGACACTAACTGACTCCTGGCTGTCAGTGCCTTTTATAGCAGGCTGACTTCCCATAGATACAATCTGATTGGTTAAATACATTCTGTGCAAATATCACATTCTGCTCTTAGCTAGCACATCATAAATATTCATATACACATAAACATACATTCTGTGTTGCATAATTATCAACAGAAAAGAGTAACAGATGTGAAGGGGAAGGTGGTAATCTATGTTATGGAATCATTTTGACATGTGAATTGTGATGTATTTTGCAAAATCACTTTTCAAACTTTTGATGTTCTTTACTCTAGACTGCCCATGTTATTTTTCTATAGAAAGGTTTTTGAGAAATGTAATAGACTGAGGCCAAAAATGGTAGGGACTTTACAAAAGCAGAAGATATCAAGAAGAGGTGGCAAGAATACACAGAGGAATTATACCAGAAAGATTTGGATATCCTGGACAACCCAGATAGTGTGGTTGCTGACCGTGAGCCAGACATCGAGAGTGAAGTCAAGGGGGCCTTAGAAAACATGGCTAACAACAAGGCCAGTGGAGGTGATGGCATTCCAGTTGAACTATTTAAAATCTTAAAAGATGATGCTGTTAAGCTGCTACATTCAATATGCCAGCAAATTTGGAAAACTCAACAGTGGCTAGAGGATTGGAAAAGGTCAGTCTACATCCCAATCCCAAAGAAGGGCAGTGTCAAAGAATGCTCCCGTACAATTGCACTCATTTCACATGCTAGCAAGGTTATGCTCAAAATCCTACAAGGTAGGCTTCAGCAGTATGTGGACCGAGAACTCCCAGAAGTACAAGGTGGATTTTGAAGGGGCAGAGGAACTAGAGACCAAATTGCTAACTTGCACTGGATTATGGAGAAAGCCAGAGAGTTCCAGAAAAACATCTACTTCTGCCTTATTGACTACGCAAAAGCCTTTGACTGTGTTGACCACAGCAACCTATGGCAACACCTTAAAGAAATGGGAGTGCCTGACCA